TTTTTTCCAGCTCGAGTTGCTGGTAACCATGCTGTATTAGCGCGTCTATTTGTATGCCTGTGCAATGCGCCTCTGAATGGACTTCTGGCGAGAAGAGCAAGGTTCTTTATTTGATTTTATGTTTCTTTTTCTTGTATATGTTGAATAGTTCTCAAGAGAAGGCTTTGGTCTGATGCGTGCATTGAGCTCGTGGTTCAATCCAGCTATGACCGAGGTATTAGAGCGATGGTCGGAGCGCATTGAATCATTGTTAGATGGTGAGCTCAAAATTGCATCTATCAAATTGAGAATACGAAAGTTCTACCTTCAGAAGTGTGCAGTGCCTCAGTGTCGAGTCCAACAGGAGAGTCTCCTCCAGCAGTAGAACTGCGAGGTCGTCGAATAGCGAGGTAACTAAGCGTGCCAAAAATGTTTCACCTGTTCCAAATGCAAAAATCTGTCCAGGTGGAATGAAGCGTGCTTAGAGTTACTCTCAGCTTGCATTACCGTGGTAGTAGATGGCGAGTGGAGGATGAGCTTGGCGGCAGTTATGGGGAAGCAGCTCGATCTCTACAAAGATTATCCCGATGAAAAGGTGTGATTGAAACAGTCACTTTTTTGAGAAATTCATATGAAATGTTCTAGGCGTTCTTATTGCGATGTTTGGGTACAGCGCTGTCAAAAATAGCTTTGAAATCTTTCGTAGTTGATCATCTAATGTTGATGTTTAAGTGAGTTTTGTGTGTAGTTGTTCTCTTTTATGGGAGAATGCAGTGCATTATAAGTTTGATCTCTTTTTGTTCTAGGTCTGCTCAGCATCATATTCCAGCAGAGAGGCAAGGATGCGCCAGAGGGGTTGGTGCATGTGCTGTAACTCATACCGATCTAGTTCTCGTAGAGTTGGAGAATGTGTCAAAATGGGAACATGCAAAAAGGAGCAGTGGCTTCTTTGGTTTTATTAAGGTTAATACGTATTTACTCATTTTCTCGACGAATATGAGTATTCAAACTTTTTTCCAGGAGGCCATGCCTATTCGACAGTACACCGATACAGAAATGGTTCTACTACGAGCAAGTCTCATGCTTAGTTATGGATATGTTGTGCAAGCTTGTGCTCTTGATACCATCACGCAACGACTTCAACAAACAATTATTGCATTCTTGCGAAATTACTTTGCAAATTCTAAGGTATGGCCTCTTTCTGAGTTAACTTGATTTGCTGCTGCAACTAGCCAGTTCTATTGCAGCAAGAAACAGTTGTTCGTGAAGCTATGCTTGAAACAATGCGACTCATCGCCATGGCCGTACATCCCTCAAGACTTCCAGGAGAGTATCGCTTTGAAGCTCGAAATGAATTGATTGGGTATATCAAGGTCAGGCATATTTTAAAAGTCGCACTTTGAAAAACTCACTATGGTTGAAATGTGTAGATGGATCTTTTCAGGACTACGTTCAAAGTGAAACTCCTGAAATGCTGTCAAGCTCACTAAGGCTATTAGCAGCCAAAGCTGCAGCAGCTCTTGTGTTAGAGACTTTTACATTTGTTGTTTGTTGTATAATCTACATAGGACATCCTTTCCAGCCGATTAGAGCCACCACTCACTGACGATGAGACTTGGGATTTGGGTTGTGTACTGACGCAGTATATATTGCCTATGTGTCGAGAGAAAAGTGGACTGAAAACAGTGAGTGAAGTTTATGTGGCTACAGCTTCCATAAGTTCGAACACATGGCTGCATTACTGCCATATAAGGGATGCAGTGGTGTGGGTCTTTAGTTTTTTATCCCTACTCATCACCCTAGGATTCCCTGACAATTGTTTTCACCACTATAACTGAACACGCTCCTCAAGATGCTGCTGTTCGATGTTGTATGGAGCTTGGCTTACCCTGTCACTGCCCTCTCATTTTAGTTGGCCTATGACTTGTTCGATTACGCGTCGACGTCAATTTCTTCATTTACGTCAACATCATCGAGTAGTCGTGCCATGAAAAAGGTATGCTTCTTGGCTCTAAAGTTCTGCACTCTAATTGCTTGAACCTATTTGCAATAACTTCTATTTGCTTCAATCCTCTGCGCCTCAGTCATACTTGCTTCTTATACCTATTATTTCAAAATTATCTGTTATCGTGGAATAATTGGTTCTTTAGCTTGTTGTAGCTGACCTTTTTTGAGGGGCGCTTCTATATCGTGTACCTTGGGAAACCCAACGCTTCACCACGTTAGGGCCA